TGGTATGAGAAATTCACAGTCGTGGTGTGAAGTTTGCCGCCCCGCCCTCCCCGCGCCCTGATAAGGCTCGGTGCTAATGGCCTCCCGCTTTGTCAACAGCGCGCTTTTGTTTTCCGTCATGGTAATGTGCGCGTGTGTGTGTGTGTGTGTGTGTGTGTGCGAGTGTGTGTGTTTGGTAACGCCCCTGCCTGCTCCGAGTGGAAAGAAGGGTGTGAGAAGAAGCAGGGCACACGAGGGTGCCGGAGAAGGGTGCCCGCTAGGGTGGTATAGGTGTTAAGGTAGGAGACGCGCGAGTAGCATTGAGCAGCAGAGGAGGGTCATCTTGTGCGGGGAGCAGGTCCAGGTCCAGCACAGCGCCGGGTAAAAATTGACCACGAGTCGTGAAACAAAAGAAGGACATTAAGAGAGAGAGGGGGGGTGGTGGTGGAGGGAACAAGGTCCACTACTACTCATCATTCCTGGACCCGGCCCCGCCGCTGGCCGACAAAGGGGTATACGCCGGGGGCGCCCCCCGGGTGGCGGCGCGTAGCGGGGCTGAGCGGGGCCCCGTGCGCTCTTGTGACTCACCTGAGCCCCCTCGGGGGGTCTTCTTCTTCGACGTCTTCAGGGTCTCCCTCTCTCTCCTTCGCCTTGGCCTATAGGCCCCTTATACATGTGGGATTGATTTTCGATAATGACACGACTTTTTCGATTCAAATTTATATTGGAAAGTTCTCCCCTTCACACAGGCGCAGGAGGAGGAGGAGGAGGAGGAGAGCGCAGTACTCACGGAGTGCGGAGTGCGTAGAGAGGGTGGTGTGCTGGTGTGACTGTGTGTGTGTGTCCCCCACCACCACCACCGAATTTAATTGTTCCGGTGTAGCATTTCCCACATGCAAAGGTGCGAGCGAGGCGAGCGCCGACGGTATGGTGCACGCGGTGCGGCGGCGGCGCGGTGGCCGAAAAACTCAAACTCGCTCCACACCGCGCCGTCTGTTCCAATGGCTGAACTAGACACAGACATTTCCATATACCGCGCCGGCGCCTTATTTTTTACTTGGCAAAAAACACCTTCAAAAATAATTGTGCCGGTTTTTTTTCGTCCGTTTTAACAGTTTAGTTATGTCATATCTGGCGGGATCGGCCGCCGCTGCCGGGGCTGCGCGTTTTCACGGTGAGCGCGTCGTCGTCGCCGTGGCCGTCCGAACTGCTGATATGTAATTGAAATAATAGGTCTGCGGCCCGCAGACTTGCGTGCGAGCGTGAGTGTGAGTTTGTGTGTGTGCGTGCGTGTGAGAGTGCGTGTGAGAGTGACTGAGTGAGTGAAGTGATTCGGCCGTCACTGGGGCAGCCGTCCGCGCCGCTGCCGCCGCCGCTGACGCCGCCGCTAGCTGACCAGGTGCGCTACCGAAGCTATCCCCCCTCTCCCCACCCCCTCCAATCTCCAACTTTCATTTCTCTCTAAATAGGATGACGGCAGTGTTTTTAATAATGCGAAGCCATCTCTCTCTTTCAATCTATATCTCACTCCCACGCAAACGAATACCCCCCCCCCTTCTTCCACCGCAGTGACATATCTGATTCTCGTGTCACGTGATGGCTAATTCATTGCTCACGCCACATTCGTAAAAAAAAAAAATAATCATAAATTGTCATTCAGCATTGTAGCATATTTCTCGACCATGTAAAACTCTCCCTTTTGGCAAACACAGTCTCTATGTCTCTCTTTTTCACCCTCATAATTTTTTTTCTGCAACAGTGTACACCGTCACCGTGTGGCTTTGGCTCGGACACACAGGTGGTGGAACGTCCAGCAGGAGTCCAGTCGTCCAAGCTCCCTCCCTCTCCCTCCACGTGCTGCATAGAGAGAGGGCGATAGAGCACACACAAAAGACCGAGAAAAAACAACACCTTTGGAATAGCAAAGCCGCTACTGTGGCTAGCCGGCCGCAGCGGGGGAGTCGCCGCCGCCGCTGGGGGTGGAAAGCCACCCCATAAGGAGCTCCTCTGCACCGCGGTGGGAAGCTGTAGGGGGGCAGCGAAACGCAGAGACGCCAGCAGCATTCCGAAGAAAAAGAAACTACTTTGCGTTTCGATAGCCTGGAAAGTTTTTTTTTTCCACAATAAAATATAAAAGCAAACTAGACCGTCGTGAGCCGCGGGGCGAAGCAGGCGCGGGGGCGGGCGACGTGGACGCGCTGGGCCGTCTCGAGGCGCGCGCAGCTCGGCGCAGCGCTCACAAGAGGTATAATAGATATTTTCCACCCGGCTGGACGGAGGGCCTTTGGGCGTGGATGAGGAGGGGGAGGGGGTGTCCATATCCTCCTCTTGCGGCCGCGACCGCATCCGGGGGGACCACCGCAAGGAGGAGGGCGACGTCGTGTGGGGGAGGCCGCGGGAGGCTCCTTGACGCGTGTCGTCGTGCTCCGGTGCGGATTATCAATCACCCAATCCTTTCGCGCTCGACGTCCTCGTTAGTGCCCTCCTCCTCCTCCTGCTCCTTGACGCGGTGCCCTGCTCGCCGTGGGCGGAACACCGGTGTGGTGGCGTGCCGCCGGTCGAGACTGCTGCTCCATACTCGGAAGCAGACGACGCGTACCTCGGCGGGGCGGGGCAGCGGTGGGGACCCCGCCAGGCGTTCCATTGTCCGCGCCAAGCCGTGCGGAGACCAAGAACGTGCTCTTTATTGATTGCGATATATCGGGAAGCCTTGCTCCGCTCCGGCCGCATGCAGATTTCCTCCGTTTTTCTTATTGTTTTCCTTTTCTTCTCGTATCCACCGGGTCCGCGCCTTGCTCTGGCCGCCGCGCAGGTTGCCTTTATTTGAACCTGTTCGATGACCGTTAGGCATAAGGCGGGTCGGTACGGCTCAGCCGGTGTGTGTAATGTATGCCACTGGGGGTCGGGCGGCGGTCCGGGGTGCAGCCAGGGGTGACGGGGGCCGAGGGCCGGCACCGTGACGGGAGGGCGCGCCTGAGACGGGGTGAGGTGTGGCTTACCGCGGCCCGGGGTAGCAGCTCGCGCGTCCGAGTTCCACCCTGCGGCGCACTATAGTACACAGCAAACAGGACAACTCTAACCAGTGTGGATCTTTTCCTCTGTTGCAGGACGATGTTGAAGTGGACAGTCTGCCAGCAGCGGCAGGGCCACATGGGGTCGGCGCGGACACCGGGGCCGGGCCCCGGCGCCGCCAGCACGTCCCCGATGACGACGTCCAAGATGTCATCGCTGGCGCGGCGCAGCTGCGGCGCGGCCATCGGCCTGCTACTGGAGCAGGACGCCGACACCCAGGCCGTGGCGAGAGCGGCGCGCAGGGCGGCGCGCCGGTCCGCGCGGCGCTGCAAGGAGGCCGACGGCGGCGCGGACGGCGACAAGGAGAACGCGGTGAGTGTGCGGTCGGTGCCCGCGCTGCAGCGCCCCCAGGGCCTCCTCGTGCTGACCGACGACCCGCTCTCTGCGCAGGACGAGCAACCCTTCTCTCCGCGGGCGCGCGAGGCCTACGGCGCCCTGAGGGACGTCAGCAACACCCCGACGGCCGAGGGGCGGCTGTCGCTCAAGACGCCCGACTCGGGCAAGAAGCGCAGCCGCAGCCAGTGCCGCGACATCACCAACATCCCGGCGTCCGTGGACCAGCCCAGGTCGCGGTCGTCGGGCTCCGGGCGGCCGTCGCTCTCGGCTACGCCCGAGTCGAAGCGGTCCAAGCCGCGCATCCAGCCGTACGAGGACTGCGAGGACGACGTGGTGGAGGCCGCCTGGCCCGCCCAGGTCGAGGCGCAGGTCGCCACCCTCAAGTTCCTGCCCCGGCAGCGCACCACGTCCAGCGGCGTGGCGCGCATCAGACAGAGCCGGGACCTGGCCCGCGGCGTGGCGTCCAAGGCCCCGAGGATCTCCTCGGCGCCCAAGCGCCACCGCCGCAAGAAGTCGGCCTCGCACTCGGCGACGCCGCGCTTCGTCAGGCCGGCCGTGGAGACGGCCGGGGACGCGGCACGGTGCGCCGTCGTCGTGCCGCTCAAGGACGCCCAGAGCGCCCACGTGACGCCGTCCAGCTCGCCCAAGACGGGCAGGTCGGCGAGGACGAGCCCCGAGCACCCCGAGTCCACAGCGAGCGTCATCTCCCCTGGGGAGACGCTGCTGCGTATGCTGGAGCGGGTGGCCGCCGAGGAGGCCGGTGACGACGCCCCCGCGTCCCGCACCGCCTCGCCCATGGCCATCGACTACTCTCCGTGCCCGCTCCGCACCACCCAGAGCCTGCTGGCGCTGCGCCGGCGGCTGTTCGACAACAGCGTGCTGGAGCCCAACGTGCGCACGGGCCGGCTGCAGCACACGGACCACCCCGAGCAGCCCTCGCCCGAGCCGAGCAGCACGCCGCTGCCCCTCACCACGCCGCTCATCGCGGCCTTCGACCGCTGGCACCGCCTGCGCGACACGGCCGACCAGGACAACGAGAGCACGCCGGTGGCCGCCGGGGTGGCGCGCACCCGCCGCAGCAGCGCGACGTCCGGAGTGTCGCCGCTGGCGTGCCGCCTGGCCTGGCTGCGGCTGCAGGCGCAGAGGGACGCCGCCGACCCCACCCAGTGCCCCTTCCCTCCCTTCGGCCACGACGGCCGTTACCTGTCCGTCGACGCCCCCGAGCCCCCCGTGCACCACGCTTCTAGTCCGCAGCTCAACAGCAGCCTGCTGTGCAGCCGCCGCCGGCGCTTGTCCGGCTCCATGCCGTCGGTGTCCTCCTCCTCCTTCCGCGTGCCGTCCACCCCCAAGCGCGAGGCCAAGCGGTCGCGCTGCAGCCCGGCCTCCATCCTGGCCAGCGACACCCTCAGCCTGCTCAACCACGGGCCGGCGTCCTCCGCGTCGCTGTCCTCTCTGTGCTCCCTGTTCCCCGGCTACCGGCCTCCGTCCATCGCGAGCGCGTCCAGCCTCAGCGACATCCCCGCCATGTCCTCGTCGCCGCTGGCCGACGCCTGCGACGCCTCCCTGCTCCGGCGCCAGCGCTGCGTGCGCAGGCGTCGCCGCACCTCCCTCACGGACATCGACGCCGTTCTGTCGTCCACCTTGTCGACGGCGGCGTCCTGTCCCAACATCCCCCGTGACGTAGACGAGGCCTGCCCCTCACCGCCCGGCCTCTCATCGTCAGGCTACTCTTCGTCGACGACCGATCCACTCGGCCGGCCCCCAACCTCGTGCTCGGCGTCAACGGCTTCCTCCAACAACCTTGATGCCCCCTCAACGGCCTCCTCCATAAGGTAAGTCTCGTGCCTCCACGTCTTACGCCACTTACTCGAGGTCGTAACTCCACTTGCTTGCACAACCGATGCTCACGCTTGTCACGTTCTTGTCGCTCCCCAGATCGCGGAGGTACGGCCTCACCCTGCCCACGGGCATCCCTAGCCCCGAGAGCCCCCTCGACGCCGTGTCCTGCCGCGCCGAAGTCAGCACCCTCCTGGACCCCAACTTCATGTGCTCGACGCCGCTGCTCCCGCGCGCCGCCACCACCACCAAGACCACCCTGGCCGACAAGCTGACCCAGTCTCAGACCTCCCACGCGCCCGACCGGCCCAACGTGGCCGAGGTGGACTTCGACAGCGCGTCGCTCCTCGTCAACAGAGGGTCGCCGGCCACCGACGACACCTGGGACTCTCACCGCGTACAAAAGGTGGTGCAGACCCCCGCCGTCAAGGACAACAGCTGCAGCAGCAGCGACCCTCTGACAGAGGCCGAGCTCAACGACTATGGTGAGTACGCGCTACCCCGCGCTATGGGTCCTTGACGAACAGGAGTAGCGCCGCGCCGCTACCCCGCGCGCGCTGCTCGGGGCGCGGTGCAGATGGCGCGGTGGTCTCTGGCGGTCCCGGGCCAGCACCCTCACCCCTTTACTCACCCTTACCGCCCTTCTCCCCACAGTGCCCCCCTCCCCCTTCGCCCTGGTCGAGAGGCGCTGCCGCTCCAGGAAGGGGCTGCTCTTCGCCTCCCCGGGGGCCAACTCGGCCCTGCCCCTGGACCTGGACCTCGGCCTGGACGCCGGCTACCCGGGCGGCGTGTGCTCGTCCCTGCTGACGCCGTCCTCGAGGTGCTCGACGTCGTCGACGTCCTCGTCCTACGCGTCCTCGTCGTCCTCCTGCCGCAGCCGAAGAAAGTCCACACCCTGGAGGAGGAGCTGCAAGGACGTCGCCCTACCCGGTAAGCGAGAGCACATATCCTCCTTGCATAACGACATCTTTTCCGTTTTTCCGTTGAAACCGCGTCGCGCGCGATCGAGAATCCGCCTGATTAATCGAACTTTAATGATGGCGACATTTGCACAAATCGACGTCGTTACCTCCCACCACACAGCCGACGCCGCGATCGCGAAATCGGTAACAGTCGCATACGAGAGGCAAGCAGCGGGGCGACGGGTCACTTCCCCGTCATTGCACCTAAAAAGGAGGCCAGGCCGATGACAAATTCGCGCACCGCGACGACCGACCGCCGTCGCCCGTAGTTCTCTTCAAATAAATAAAAAGAATGAATGAATCGCTTGCCTCACACACGTTACGTTCCAACCCCACTTGCCACAATTGTCGGCCTCCTTGCGCGGTGCAATTACTTGTCCCCGCAGAGCCGGTGGAGGCGGCCCTGGCCTCGGACCGCCAGTTTGATTGCAGTTTTATCGCCCTCCTTGCGCAGTTACTACTCCCCCTCCTTCCGGGAGAGAGCGAGAGAGAGAAAGAGAGAGAGAGAGAGAAGCAGCAGGGCCGGAGTGGGAAAACTTTAACTTTTGATTGCGAAGGGTGTGGTTGGGGTTGTTAGTTGTCTCGGTTATTAAGAAACTATCGACTCCTGCTGGCACCGGCGGCGACGGCGCGACGGCAGGCTCCTGCGATAGCGGGGTGGGAAAAGAAGGTCTGTGTTCTGTTGATCATGTCCACTCAGGTATCGAAGGTAATCGAATCACATGGGTCATTGCCTCTACCCCTCCCCCTACGCCCCCTCCCCTGTCTTTGTCTGACTCTGTCGGGCACAGACTGTTTCTGTCTCTCTCTCTTTCTCTCTCTGCCGTTTCACAACTCCCCCTGCTTACTCCGTCCGTGCCCCACCCCAACCCCCCCGATCGCGGAGTGTCCGACACGTCAACCCACGAAAAAAGTTGTCGTAGTCGCGCGGCGTCTTGTCGCCAAAAGAATTCCACTAAAAAAAAAAAGAGCGAGCAGGGGAGGAGGGGGAGGGAATGCGAAAAAATGCCCTCCACGTAACTCGAGTGCGCATTGCGACGTACATACTACATTGTTGTAATGCAGTAATGTCGCCATTTGTTGACACTCGACTGGAGACATTTTTTTTTCGTGGGCAAAGAATAATGAGCGTTCTGCGAATTGGGTCGAGAGTTTTGCTGCTCGGCTCATGGCAGCCAAACTGTAACCGCGAGTTTGGAATTTCACAATAAACCATCCGACCTCAAGTACTTGTAAGCGTAATTGATATACTAACGATGATTTTTTTTCTTTTTCGTTTTACAGGTGAATTGGAGCTTAACATCAACGCCACTGGTGACCAGCTCACTGTCCATGGTGAGTAGCGCAACCAGTGCTATTTCGATTCGAAGACGCAGATAAAACTAGAAACTAGATAACAAAGACTCCATACGAATATTTCAATGCAATATAAAAAGAAATAAATAATTAATTTAAAAGAAAAGCCAATTTGTGGGTCGACGTAGCCCAGTTTTCTTTCATTATCAGTCCCAAATTAGATTGAGTGGGTAACGACACTAGTAACACTAAACGTAAAAAAAAAGTATTACAAACATTAACGGTGTACAGTACGTCCGGCCGCTAACGACCCACCGACACCGACCACTAACGATGTGTCGGAATCGATGGACTGAAAACTGCTCCCCTTTTTCGCGGATACGCCAATTTGTCGCTGTCGCCACGTCACACACACACACATACACACACACACACACATTCACATATGGGAGGGGCGTATATGTGTACAAGCCGCTACCCCCGCCGCCGGTCTCGTGAGAAATCAGAGTTGGGGAGGAGAATGCCTGCGCGTGCTGCTATGTATGGTAGAAGGCAGGAGAAAGGAAAATCATTTCGCACTGGGTAATTCATGTGGCGCCTCTGATTGGCGTGCGAATATCCGAGCACACGCGCGAGGGGAGGGGGGTGGGCCCTCTGCGGTATTGCATGATACGACGTCCGTCTCGTGTCGCTCCTCTTCCCTCCCCTCCTAAAAGGTAGGCAAAGCAAAAATCGTGCCGGTCCCGTCGTTTACGACCCCCAGGGGTCCGCTCGTCCCGCCCCGCCCCGCCGCACCCCACCACGCCATTCCCCCGGGGGATCGACGGCGGCCTCAGCGGGTCATAGTACCGGCCAGAGTGCGCCGTGATGGGGAGTGCGCGACCCGAGGAGCTCTCCGCTAGAGCGGGGGTTGGAGGTGGTGGTGGTGGTGGTCGAAGGCGGTCGGGAGGAGCTGCGCGGCGCGAAATATGACCGCGGTCAGAGATGTACAGACGGGCGCAGCCGGGGCGGCGCAGTGTGTGCCAAAGCCCGAGGTCGTAACCGCCCCCCACCACCCCCCCGCTCTCATACGTACGGGCGTACGGCTCGGCGCGCAACGCGAGAGCGAGAGAAAAAGAAAGAGAGAGAGGGGGGGGGGAGGGGTGGCAAGGGTGGGGGAGGGAAAGGAAGAAAGAGAGAGAGGGATCGAGCCATAAATTTTTGACTCACTTTGCGGTGGTTCAGGTCGGGCTACACCGTGCATTGTGGTGACGTCGCGCTTGGGGCGGGGGCGCCACTTGTCAACCCAACCTCCTCCTGCTCCTCCTCCAGCTAGGGCTGTGCGATATCACGATATTTCGATATCGATACGATATTGTCCGATATCGAGACGTCGATATTCTCCCGATATCGATATCGAAATATCGAGG